CCTACATGTCTTTTCATGGTTTGATAGTTCATTTCCTTTTAGTGCTGAATAATAACCTTTGGTTCTTTTGCTCCAGTATTTTTATAGTTTCATTTTTATGTTTCATCTTTGCTCCTTCTGGAATTTATGTTGGTGTAAAGAATGAGTTTGGGATTCAGCTTATTTTTCCAAATGGCCAACTAGTTGTCTTAATGCCATTTATTGAGTCATCTGTCAGCCAGAAATGTCAGCAGGAATAGGTACTGAACTCCCAGATCTACTTGGGTCTATTTCTAAACTCTTCAGTCTGTTTCATTGATCAGCCTGTCTGTTCCTATAACAGGACTATGCTGTTAATCACATTTTTCAAACATTCCATGTCATTTTTAGTCTATTTGTTCTGTCATTGACTGATAATATTGTATCTGTGAACTCCCAATTGCATTTCCAATGGGTTTTTATTTATATTGTATACTGCCATGCCATCTGACACATAAAGACCCATCACTATTATATTTAATCAGAGATTTAAATTTTTGTCAATATAAAATGACCAACTCTTTCTCACTTGAGACACTGCTAGTATTCTGACTGGAGAGATTCTAAAGTAGTTTTTCATGTATTTTTTCTTTGATGTTCACTTCCCAAATGTATCCTTCTCTCAATTTATATTTTTAAATCTTTATAATTTTATTGAATTTAACTCAATCATCATGGGTTTTACACTTATGACAATAAGTGTAATTAGGTTACTTTAATAACTATTTGCTTGTGTTTCTGTCATCTTGTTTGGCACATTCTGCTTTTATGCTGTTAGCTTTTTAAAAATTATTATTTGCATTGCTGAATACACTCTCATGTTTAATACAATCTTTTTGGGAAATTTAGAAATCTTCCTTTAATCCACTGTGATTTAATTCTATTTGTGGTTATTATACAATTTTTCAAAGATATTCTAAAAGCTAACTTACATTGACAGGACCCAAAACACAGTAGGATTTTTAGTTTTTGAGTTGTCTCTATGGAATTCAGCCTTATGTGCAACTCCCCCTGCTTCACCAGAACCTTGTTTATAACCCCTGTCATTGGTACTTTCTTGTGTCCCTACTTCCTTTCTTCATTTTCTCCCTTTTTCTTTCTTTCTCTTTCAACCATTTTATAAAATTGTAACATATCTATAGAAAAGCACACTAAAATACAGAGATCAATTAAATAACAACAAGCAAAGACAAAAACGATGTATTTCTATAGTTACCATGCATCCTGGAAGCCCCCTTTTGGCCCCCTCCCAGGGAGTGCCTCCTCCCCCAATCACCAAAGTTTAATCAACAAACACCTGAAATAGGAATCACTACCTAGATTTTCTTTATTGTTTTCCCAGCTAAACATGCCTTTCTAAACATGAATTATTTTTCCTACTTTTTAATCTTGATATGAATGAAATTGTACAATATGTACGCTTTCATATCTTCTTTAACATTACAATTATGAGATTCATCCATGTTTTTGCACATGATTGTAGCTTGTAGTTTCTGACAAGACATTTGCTTCATTCTTTGTTCTTTTGTAAATAATTTGCCACTTCTCTGATCATTTTTGAGGCTTTTCTCTTTATTGCTGGTGTTGAGCAAGTTGATTATAAGCTTAGGTATAATTCTCTTTATGTTTCTTGTGCTTCAGGGTCATAAAACTCAGATATATGGATTGATAATTTCATCAAATTAGTAAAAAATTTTAGCCATTTTTACTTCAAATATTTTTTCTGTCTCTCCTTCCTATATTCACTGTCAGAGATTTCAACTCGTGTTGAAGCTGTGCTGGGGAGGACAAGAACAGCATTGAATCTACTGCCTGTTTTGCTCCACTACTGAGGCAAAAACATTCTGAGTGTTCAGTGAATTTTTAGGTTTTCCAGTCTGGCTGGTGGGAACAGGTACTCCCGTTTCCAGCCTTGTGTAAGCTCCAGGTATTATTCTCTCGGATCTTTTAGTGTTCTTGGGTCGTTTCCTCTCACATGTAAACTGATCGGTACTCAGCTGAAGACTTGACGGGTTTTTTAGAACATTCCTTTTGTGGAGCTCTTTCCTCTTCAGCACTCTGCCTTGCAAACTCTAGCTACCTTGGCCTCCTAGGACTCTCAGCTCTATCTTCTCAATTTGGGAAGTCCACTGGGCTCTGCCTGGGTTCTTCCTCTCTGCACCATGGCCTGGAAGCTCTCTTCAGGAAGTCAATCATAGGGCTCAGCATTGCCTGACTCTCAGGCATCACTGAGACTTACACCATTTCAACACTAATTGGTATGTTTACTTAGCATGTTAGCAGAAAAACATTAGAACACTTTGATTTAATTTACCTCATCCTAATAAATGCTATTATTATGGTATATTTTAACATTATGTAGATCTTAACTCCCTCAAGGCATTATTATTATTGATTTATACCATCAATATTCATTTAGAATTATCTAGTTACCATTTACCTTGTTCTTAACTCCTTTATCTTTGACCTTCTATCTGGGATTAATATCTTTCTATAGAACAACAGAATTCTCTGGTGATGAACTTTTTTCTTTTTCTGGTGATGCCTTTTTTTTTTTTGTCCAAAATTTCCTTAATTAACCTTTATTTTTGAACCATAATTTTCCCCTGGGTTTAGAATTATTGATCCACAGCTATTTTGTTGTATTGTCTTTTTATTTCTATTACATCTACTGAAAAATTAGTTATCACTCCAAGTGTTTAAAGATTGCTTTTTAGATGGTCTGTTTACCTTTGACTTTTAGCAGTTTTACTGTGAAGGGGCCTTGTTGTGGATTTATTTTTATTCATTCTTCTTGGAGTTCAAAGGCTTTTTGGAATATTTGGCTTCCTGTCCTTCATCAATGTAGGCCATTTTTCACCATAATTTCTACAAATACTGGTTCTGTCCGGTTCTTTTTGTCTTTGCTATCTGGGACAACAATTACTTATGATAGACTTTGTAATTAGATCCTCAATATCTTTTCTCTTTCCTTAGTGTTTGCCATCCCTTTTTTCCCTACTGTTGTTATTTTGAATGTATTCTAGTTCACAATTCTCTTTCACCTGTGTCTAATATGTTGTTAAACCATAAGTCCATTCATTGAATTCTTAACTTCTAAGTATAGCATCTTTTACTTCTAGACTTTCTTTCCTTTAAATTTTTTGTTTTGAATTTCTAGTTCTCAGCTAAATTTTCAATCTTATCTTTATCCCATTGTATATACTCAGCATAATTATTTTATATTTTGTATTTATAACTCTAATATTTTCAGCTCATGAGCTTACTTCTCTGTTTTGTTTTTGATGTCACCTTGTTTCCTCATTTTTTTCTGGATATTTTTTGTACTTGTGTGCTGGAGATTATATTTTGCAAATTACTTATATAAATATTTTGAAGCCTACGGCACTTCATTTTGCTTCCAGAAATATTTTACATTTATTTTCTTAGGTGCCTGCGGGGACTAGCAATCTGGGCTGGTCATAATTTAATTTAGAGATTGAGGTGATTCAAAATTGGGCATTGGCCTTTCAGGAGGCTGATCTGCTGGTTCATTTTTCCTGCTAGGCTACATATCTTTAGGGTTTCAACCTAAAACACAGGGGATTTATCAGGGTACCCTCCCTTTTTTAAAAATGGGACTCCAGATACTTTTTGGGGAATCAGCATATGCCATAAGATTAAAAATAGTTTCAAATTCTGTGCTCCCATATTGGAGATTCATCTTCTCTCAGAACTTAGCTTGCCAATTCTTCACTATCTTATTAGCTCACTGATACCTTTAAACAGCTTCTCTTTCTCTGTATATACTATATAATAATATGTAATATACAACATGGTATACAATATAAATATGTATAATATATAATATAAATATATATTTTTTGTCTAGGTGTCTTCAGTGAAAGAAATGTCCTAAATTATTTAGACTTCCATTATAGAAAACAGGTATCTCCTTAAACTTGCTCATTTTTAAACAACAAATACTATAGATTTCGAAGTTAAAAACACATTTAGGAACATATTTTGACACTAATTTTGAAATGTTATTTCAAAATTATTTTATTATTTCAACATTTCCATACATTCAATTAGTCTATTACCATATAGTCTTTTCCAACTATATCTTTCTCAGTTTTGAATTTTGCTTTCCTTTTTTATATTTAGTATTTTTGCTCAGGCCTTCTGTTAGTTTGTTAATAAAGGATACTTAAGTGGTATATTTTCTTAATCTTTGTATTCCTGAGAAAGTATTACTCTTAACTTCATGAATGAATAATAACTTCACTAAATATAGAAACTACGTCTTTTAGAGCTCTGGAAATGTTATTCCATTTTCTTCTAGTGTTCAGAGTTGTGAAAGGAGGAGGCTAAGGCTAATCTGATTTTGGTGATTTTGCTTATTACCTGATTTTGACTTTCTTATATGCTTAAAAAGCCTTTCTTTACCACTTATCTTCAAATAGTCCATGAGGCTATAGGTGTCTGTTCTCACTTGAATTCCCATTATCTTTGCCTATAGCTATAATGTATACTCTCATGTTTTGAACTGGGGAACTGGTTTGCATTAGTAAAATTTTTTTTCTGTTATTTTCCAAAGATTGTTTCATTTCTATTTGTTCTATTGTCTCTTCTTGGTATTTGACGGATATGTAGATTTAATCTCTTGGACTTAATCTTCATATTCTCCAATGAGAATACTTATTCTAATTGTTATCACACATTCATTTCAGTAGCTGCAAACCCAGTGCTTATAGAATTCAGGCATGAAACAATAAACAGAATAAATCAAGCCAGGCTTTTACAAAAATGAGTGATAAGGATTGTGGAGATCAAAAGTCTCATCTAAAGAGGGCAGCTACCAATCTACTGGTATTCATTGCTAATAAAATATTATCAAAATTCTACTTTTGTTCTCAGAAAAACTCAAATCTGTTTTTTTTTTTTAAACATATATTCCCCAGCAGGGTGTGGGGAAACTAATAAAGGATTTTATAACTTACCATTGGAATGATCTTGGTCACATGCAGAATGATCTGTTACTTCATTGTCTTTTGCAATATTGTCATCCTTTACAGAATCTGGCAGCAAACAAACAAAACCTGTAGTCAGCATTTTTAACTAGGAAATAGAGCAGCTTCCAAGGCTAACGACCGATTTATGTTTGGGGGAAACAGAATTCAGTATTTTTTTTAAATAACCATTCAAATACTTTAATATTTTCATTAATAAATAAGCTTTTCTTATAGTACCGCATATCTCTGCACAAAGCGTACAAAGGTAGAGCAGTAGTTGGGACTTTTTGCAGCAGAGAAGAAAATAGAAGCAGTCTTTATGCATTAGAGAAAGTCTTAAAATTATAGGAAAGGATATGAAAGGAAGGCAAAATACAGAAGATTAAAGGAACATCTAATTTTAATGTTCTTAATGCTTTCATTACTATGGTGGTTCACATATGGGAGTCTTGAGCTGTTGAAAAAGTCAGATATAGAGTCTTGAAATCCAGAGGTAATTAAGTTCATCTTCCTCAGGAACTGTACCAGTAGAGTAACAGCAACGAGGGAATGCAGACCTTCTGTTCTGTGCAATGTCATTTCCTCCCTTGCATAGCACATTCAAATGTGAAATCAGCATACATTCATCTTTTTTTATTATAGGATATACTTTACAGGAAATAACATAGCTAAAAGGATTCTGTGACTATGGACTACTGCAAAGCTAGAAAGGGCCAGCTTTGAATGTTTGAGGCCCCTCTGGAGGCTCTTGGAAAAAAGCATCAGATAAGAGCCTGTGACTGGACCAGCAGGAAGACAGAAAATAGGTCTTTCATTCATTTAAAAAAATATTTATTAAGAGCCAAGTATATGCCAGACACTGTTCTTGATGCTGGGAAGCCAATAGGAAACTAAATACCAAATCTCTGCCCTCGTGGAGTTTACATCTAGTAGATATTTTTTCATGTAGCTAAAAGGGAAATGATCTGAAGATAATCTAAAAGGCATGAGCTAATTTTGTAAGCATGTGGTCAGGGAGAAAGCTGAGATGGTAGACCAACACTTCTGTTACTCACAAATGAGTTTTCTACTGAGTTTATATCTCTCAGTTGAGTTTTGACTCCCTAACAGAGCTGAATCAGATGAAGTCTAAAATACATCATTCTTTCTTTTTTTCCCTCTCCCTCCTCTTTCTCTCTCTCTCCCCCCTTTTGAAAACTGGGAGATAGCTTTAAACAATACGGTTTGGAATATTGTGAGAAAGTTTGTTTCTTGAACCTGCCACAAGCAACATTTGATGGACAAGTGAGAAACCTGGGTAGTTAACATATGATTCAATTTTAATAACCAGTGAAGCAAGTATACACCCGAAGTATGTGGTTTTAATTAACTGCAAATAATTCCCCCAAGGCAAATGTTTAATTATCTGCATTGCTTCTTTCTTCTTTCTGAGACTGACAATAAGTCTAAAAGTCCAAATTTGGAAGCAAAACTGAGCACAGACACATTTTCCAAACTGTTATCTCACTCATGTCAAATTGTTTTAAAGCAGCTCCCATTAAAATATGCCCTTTTAATTTTGGAGCTAAGATGTGGACTGCCAGAAAAAAATTCTTTGAATACTTTTTTCTACATCAACACTGAAAATAAACAATGACTGAAAAAGGTACTATCTGGATCAGGCTAAATTTTAAATTCAATAGTGTTTTAGTTTTACTTGTTTATAAAAAATGGTATTATTCCATACTTAGTCTTATGCAATCGTCATTAAATTTTAGGATTATTCAAGATTTTGCATATAGTTAAAATTTATTCATTATGACATTGAATAATAATTCATTATTCTTTCTAATTTACATAAAAATTATGCTTTTGTACTAAATATTACATATGAAATATCTTTTAAAAGGTTATTTACATTGATTTTATAAGTTTATGTTCTAATGATTCACATAAGATGTGTGAAATCATTTAAAGATTTAATCACTGGATAATACCTGTTTTGCCACTAAAATGTGTATCATTAGGAAATTGCCCCTTTCATTTCAGTTGTCTTGGAGAGTTGCTTTAATAGTAAAGTCACCTTCTGTATAATCTTATTTCTCTATAATGCATTTCATGGAACCTAAGAACCATCAATTGTTATTTGCACTATTACTTTGTATAACAAAAAATGCTGCCCATTGACTGCCTGCCTGCCTCTGGTCAGTCTCTCCCTGCACAGGTCTCCTGCGCTCTCTGTCCAGAGTGTGGAGCCCGCTTGTGCAGGGCTTAGCCTCCTGGGAGACTGCCCTTAGTGTGGCTATAAGGCAGAGAGACTTTACGCCCACCACGCTCCAGTGTCTTGTGGCTGAGCCTTTGGCTCCAAAGTCTCTGTCCCCGACTTGGGGGCAGAGCTGAGATAGGAATGGTTCCCATTCCTACCGCTTATCTCCACCTGTGCAATTAAAGGGACAGAAGATGGGATTCCGTGGGATTGGCTACGGGCCTGCAGGCTTCAGGCCAGTCTCTATCTGCACAGGTATTCTGCGTTCGGTGTCCAGACCCTGGAGTTTGCCTGGGCAGGGCCGAGCCTAGTAGGAAGCAGCCTTTGGAGAATACAAGTCAGAGAGACATTACGACCGACACACTCTGGTGACTTGGAGCTGGGCCTTCAGTTCGAAAGTTTCTAGCCCTGCCTTGGGGGTGGAGCTGAGATAGGAACTGCTACCATTCCTGCCATCTATCTCCACCTGTGTAATTAAGGAGACAGAAGAAGGGAGGCCGCCGGAACAGCCCGGAGACCAGCAGGAAGGGTAGGGTAACTGGCTGTTTCCCCTCCACTACATCTCGGACTGCTGGCTCCCCAGCGGGTAGAGAGACCTGCAGACCCACCGACGGCTGCCGCCACAGAGCAACTCCACCTACTGGCTCAGAAACTAAACAAAACGTGTGAATACCCAAACGAAAACCTAAAGGAAAAAAACAACAACTGAGCAAAATGGGAAGATATCAGCGAAGACACTCCAGAAATATGAAGAAACAAACGGAAAACACACCCCAAAGAGGAGCACCAGCCCTTAGAAACAGACAACAACCAAACCTGGCAACTGAAATGACAGAAGAGAATTTGTGAATCATAAGAACACTCCCGACCTGCAACAACAACTCATAACCAACACAAGAAACCACAAAAAGCCTCCAGGATATGGAACAAAGGTTCACTAAAGAGATCAACACAGTGAAGAAAACTTTAACCGAAGTCCTGGAGATGAAGAATCAACTCAGGGAATTACAAAATACTGTGGAAAGTCTCAAGAACAGGGTAGATCAAACAGAAGAAGAATCTCAGAGATTGAGATAACCTTCCAATTAAATAAATCAGTCACAGAGATAGAGCAGAGAAACAAGAAAAGAGCAAAGCCTACAAGAGCTGTGGGATTATGTGAAAAAACTAACGTGAGGATCATAGGGTTAGCAGAAGGGGAAGAAGACAACACTGAAGGCTGGACAAGCTTTTTGAAGATATAATAGAGGAAAATTTCCAGCCTTGCTCAAAATCTTGATATACAAGTTCAAGAAGCCCAGAGGACCCCTGGGAGATTCAATGCAAACAGGAAGACGTCACGTCATGCAGTCATCAGACTGACCAAATATCAACTAAAAGAGGCCTTCTAAGAGCTGTAAGAAGAAAGAAGCAAGTAACCTACAGGGAAAGCCAATCGAATAACACCAGACTTCTCTAATGAGACTTTACAAGCAAGGAGAGACTGGGCCCATCTTCACTCTTCTGAAACAAACAATGCCAGCCTAGAATCTATTACCTGAAAACTAAGGCTTCATATATGAAGAGAATAAAGACATTCCCAGACAAGCAAAGCCTCAGAATTCACCAAGACAAGACCAGGCCTACAAGAAGTACTCAAAACAGTGTTACACACGGAACACCTAATAGAAACTCACGAATAAAAAAAAAAAAAAACCAACACCAAAGATTAAGCCAGATATCTCTATGGATCAAGAGAGAAATCAAAGCAACAAATCCAACCCAACAGAATGAAGTAATCTACCTTTACTATCAGTTTCTCAATAAATGTGAATGGCTTAAACTTCCACTCAAGAGACATAGGGGCTGAATGGATAAGAAAATACAGGCCAAGTCAATGCTGTCTTCAGGAAACACATCTAACCTGCAAGGATGCATATAGACTAAAAGTAAAAAGTGGAGATCAGTATCCAGCAAGTGGAAGCCAGAAGAAGGCTGGCGTGGCAGTTCTAATCAGACGATTTAGTTTTTAAACCAAACAAAGTAGTGAAAGACAAAGGGTCATTATATAATGGTGAAGGGCGCAGTTCAACAAGAAGAATAACAATTTTAATATATATGCACCCAACTAGGTGCACCCAGTTTCATAAAGCAACCTACTGGATCTAAGCAAATGGATTAATAGCAAATCCATATCCCAGGATTTCAACACCCACTGACGCTCAAGACAGATCCTCAAACAGAATAATAAAGAATAATGGACTTAAACAAAACTCTAGAACAATCGGTCTGACTGACATTTACAGGACATTCTACCCCAAATCCACTGAATATACATTTCTCATCAGCTCACGGGACATTCTCTAAGATTGACATATCCTAGGCACCAAGTAAACCTCAAGAATTTAAAAAATAGAATCATACCATGTATCTTCTCAGATCACAGTGGAATAAAACTAGAAATCAACCTAACAGAAACTCACCTTTCTACACAGAACGTGGAAATTAAACAACCTCCTGCTAAATGATTACTTCTAAATGAAGAAATCAAACAGAAATAAAAAATTCATTGAAGAAAATGACAATGGAGAACAGTTATCAAGTCTCTGGGACACAGCTAAAGCAGTTCTGAGAGGAAAGTTTATCTCCATAAATGCCTATAACCAAAAATCAAAAACATCACAAATAGACAATCTAATGAAACGACTCAAAGAGCTGGAAAAAAGAACAGACCAGCCCCAACCCAGCAGAAGAGTGAAATCAATAAGATCAAATCAGAACTAAATGAAATTGAAAACAGGGAAGCTATTCAGGAGATTAACAAACCAAAAGTTGGTTCTTT